TCCAATTTATCTTTCCAGATGTCACTTCCAGGGCAAGATGTTTGCTGTCAGGTGGGAGAGTTACTCCCATGGCACAAAAATAACTCACTACAAGAACAGCTTGTCATGTTTGCATTTTTCCTCCAATTAGCACAAAACAGGTAAGTTCCGGGGCAAGGTGCTCTGTCTTTCCACCATCTGAAAGCAGCAGATAAGCTCTTTTGGGGTGAGATGCTCTGCTACACCCATCTGGACCACAGAGGCACAGGGCATACAAGACTGTTCTCACTGCCAGCCACCATGAGGATGCTGCAGGCTCCTGCTTAGCTGAGGAGAGTGTCCCTTGCCAAGATTGAGAAACAACTGCAAGGCTCTGCTAGCTGCCTCTATCCAGGAGGCCAAGAGCTCCTGTCTGGATCCAGCCCTGCATCCGGCCTGGCTGCTGGTGTCTGGTGATTCTCCCTGGGGTGTGATGACACACTCTAGGTATTTTTGCTCCTGCAGAGAAAATCTGACAGACTCTATCAACCTTCTGCAGAGTGGGCACTCTGGTTTCTTCTCTGCCCAACGCAAAATGCAGCCCATGCAGAACTCATGGCCACAGGGCGTCACATAAGCGACACCCTCTTGCTCATCATGGCAAATGGGGCAGCTCCACTCTGCCCCCAGGGCTTTGTCTGTTCTCCATGGTAATTCAGGGAGTCCTGAGAATTTGCTCCCCATCACTGGCACTACAAAAGCATCCCACACACTGCAAAAAAATGGAGAAACTTTGGTCCCTTGTTTTCCCAAGGAGGAGATGAAGAAATGCCCAAGCCCCTGTAAAAGGATACCTTCCTGACACCTCAAGCTCTAGTGTTCTTCTCACTACCATCCTGGAGGGACTCAGCTTTCCAGATCTTACAGGCATGCTTAACAAGCTGTGACTTTTCTGAGAGCCTGGGAAGATGGTCTCTGGCAGCTGAAAATATGTAGAGTTGAGATGCCTGTCTGTGATAAACAGATATTGAGAATTAAGGGGTTCAATATCTTTGAGGTCCTGGATTTTTAATTAAATCTCAGGGCTGGAGGCTGGATTTTTCCTTGCTTTCTATTTTGTTTGTTTGTTTGTTTTAAGTTCACACTTGAATCAGAAAATGTCATTAATTTAATGCAGTTTTTATAAGGGAGAGGTTCTCTTCTTACAAAGTAACACTGTAGACGAAATTCCAATGTGGCCTTATCAGGCACTATGCACATCAGCTGGGTATGCTGGTCAAGCATCACCTGTGCAGGCGATCTCTATTGAAGACGAGATGCAGGCTTTGCTCCCTGCTGACAGGTCTCAGGAACTCTGAGAATGTGTGCACCCTTGATGAGCAGAGCTGCAAAAAATATTGTAGGAAACTTAAAGATCACAGTTGCCTTAAACACTAATCGCAAAATCACAGAATCAACTAGGTTGGAAAAAACTTCTGAGACCATTGCGTCCAACCTGTGATCAAACACAGCAACCAGACCACAGCAATAACAGCCATGTCCAGTCTTTCCGTAAACACCTCCAGGGACATTGGCTCCCCCACCTCCCTGGGAAGCCCATTTCCATGCCCAAAATCACCCTTTCTGTGAATAATTTTTCCTAATGTCTGGCCTCAACCTCCCCTGGTACAGTTTAAGAGTTTTTCTTCTTTTGCTGGTTGCCTGGGAGAAAAGACCGACCCCCACGTGGCTGTAACTCCTTTTAGGGAGTTACAGAGGTTGATAAGGTCAACCCTGAACCTTCTCCAGGCTAAACAATCCCAGCTCCCTCAGCTGCTCCTCATAGAACCTATTACCCAGACCATTCACCAGCCTTGTTGCCCTCCTCTGGACACATTTGAGCATCTCAGTGTCCTTCCTGTACTGGGGGGCCCAGAACTGGACACAGCACTCGAGGTGTGTCCTCACCAGTGCTGAGTACAGGGGCAGAATGACCTCCCTGCTCCTGCTGGCCACTCTATTCCTGACACAGGCCAGGAGCCCTTGGCCTTCTTGGCCCCCAGGGCACACTGCTGGCTCATGTCCAGCCGGCTGTGGACCAGCACCCCCAGGTGCCTTTCTGCCTGGACACTCTCCAGCCACACCATCCCCAGCCTGTAATGCTGCAGGGGGTTGTTGTGACTCAAGGGAAGGACCCAGCACTTGGTCTTGTTAAACCTCACCTTGTTGGATTTGGGCCCTGGATCCAGCCTGTCCAGGGCCCTCTGCAGAGCCCTCCTACCCTCTAAGAGATCAATATTTGCACCAAATTTGGCATCATCTCAAATTTGCTAATGGTGGACTCAATCCCTTCATCCAGACTATTAATAAAGGTATCCAGCAGGACTGGCCCCAGAATTGATCCCTGGAGGCTCCACTGGTAATCAGCCCCCATCTCTAGATGCAGCACTGTTCACCTCCACACCAGGCTTGGCTGTGCAGCCTATTCTGAACCTAGCAAAGAGTGCTCCTGTCCAAGCTCTGGGATGCCAGCTTTTCCAAGAGTGTGCTATGGGGAGATGGTGTCAAAGGCATTGCTGAAGGTCAGGTAGACACATCCACAGCCTTCCCCTCATCCACCAGTTGGATCACCTGGTCATGAAGATCAGGCTGGTCAAGAACAATCTGTTCCTCCTAAATCCATGCTGGCTGGGTCTGATCCCTCAGCTGTCCTGTAGGTGTTGAGTCACCTCACTCAAGATGATCTGTGCCATAGCCTTACTTGGCACCAAGGTCAGGCTGACAGGCCTGTAGTTTCCCATGTGCTCCTTATGGCCCTTCTTATGGCTGAGCATCACATTGGCCAACCCAGTCATCAGGCACCTCCCTGGTTACTCAGGACTGATGGTAAATGATGGAAAGCATCTTGGCAAGGTCTTCTGCCATCTCCCTCATCAACCTAAGATGGATCCTGTGTGGTCTCCTAGATTTGTAAGCATCTAAGTGGCTCAGCAGGTCACAAACTGCTTTCTCCTGGATGACAGGGGAAGCTATTCTGTTCCCTGTCCCCACCTACCAGCTCAGGAGGCCTTTTGTCCTGAGGACAAGCTGTCTTTATTGTTGAAAACTGAAGCAAAGAATCAGTCAGTCTTTTCCTCATCTTTGGTAACTATATTCCCCGCCTTGTATAATAAAGAATGGAGGTTTCTTGCCCCTCCAAGATGTGTTAAGATCACTGAAGGACTTTTCTCACTATGGCAAACTCTCCAAAGAAGCAGCTGCTCATCTGTGATGACTGAAGTTCCCCCTCCCTGAACATGCCTCTGTGAAATCCGGACTGTAAGTTAACCCACCTGAGAGGAACATGAGATAAGATTGTCTGTGTGTTATCTCCGAGTAGCAGGAGAAAAACAGATACTGGAGGAGCACTGATACTGAACAGAAAAAATCCACACAGAAAGTCAACCCAGCAACTGTGCTGAAAATCAACTCTGAGTGCAGTCAATAAGCATTCATTCCTTTGTTTGCTAAAATGTATAGATAGCGAAAAGTTTTGAACACCTTGGGAACCACATCAGCAAGAAGACCAGTGTGAGGAAAGATGCAACAGGATGCTTCCTGGATCCAAGTGCGGTGATAGCCTTTTAGTTAAGCTGTCTCATTCTTTCTCTCCCTCTGGCCCTCCTCTCTGCTATTTCTGTGTGTCTCTCTACTGCACATTGACTGTTAAATAAAATCCATACTATTGACTTTAGTGGTGTCTGCGCTTCAGGTGGAGGTGTCTATCAGTAGTTGGATCATAACAGACATGCTGACACAAAAGACTGCTGCTGAGAGAGGGTGAGATGTGCAGCTGATCCTTAGCCCAGGGATTGGCACTGGAGAAGGCAGGTGCAGCTCCTGGAGTGTTTGTGCATTGGTGTTACATCCCACTTCTATGTGGAAGGGGACAAGATTTGTAGATGTTCACAGATGAAAAGGAATGGCAAAAACCAAAAGGATCCAGAAAAACCTCACAAACTCTTATTAACAAACTACACATTCAGCATGGCAATTGGTATATGTTTTGCCACTATCTTCTAATAGTAAGAGAAACAAAAGAATAAAATAATAGAGGGAAGAAGAAGGGACAAAGAAATCAGGTAGAAGAGGAAAGAAGTTCACGGTCCTGGGTCCAGCATTGATCCAGCCAACAGGTGTCCCAGGTCCTGAGAGAATGCCTCCCAGCCTCTCTGGTGAAAGTTACATGGATAAGTTAGATAAGTTTTATATAGATAACTATAGATAAGTTTTCCCCATTCTGGGATTAGGTTTCTCACTCTTCATACAAATGAGGTAGTATGTACAGCCCAGTATTCTGGACTTTTCTGGAAATGGGCTGAGGGGCTTTGTGGGTTTTTTTGTGGTCTTGATTCTCCCTCTATTGATCTTGCTTGCTCCTTAACCCCTCTCCTGCACGGAAGTTGTTCTTTATGTTGTGTGGTCACCATGGACTCAAACAGCAAATTCAGCTCCAGAATGGTGCTGCCTTACCTTCATACGGCTCCCCTTTCCAGGCGCATCTTGTTATACCTTGCCCGCTTCATGGCTATTGGTGTTTAGGGCATAGCAATGCATTAACTCTTTTCTGCTTAGGTTTCTACATTGGTTAAAAAACCCAGTTACTATCTGATGGGGACAAAAATAATCCTTAGGGGAGAGGAGGACTTCACGTTCTTAATGACAGGGCACCATCTGCACCATTTTTTTCCCTTTCTCTTATTTCCCTAGTGTTGTGTTTCTTGCACTTGTAGTTGCAGACTTAAGGTGGCAGATGCTACTTTTCCACTGTAGATATATTAATATCTGTAGGGAGGGCATTGATCTGTACAGAAGGGAGTGTGAAATCCTATTTTTCCTAGATGAGGGTGAAGGGTTCCCTGAGTTAAGGGCTGTTGAGAAATGATCAAGCCAGTAGGATTTTATAAAATTTGGATGGAGAGTATTCTCAGAGTAGAAAATACAGGTATCCTTTTTTTTTGCTTACAATTTAACATTTAATTCAGTTTAATGAAATTCAAATTAATATAACTCTGATGGAAAGGGTTGTGGTCCTTATAGCCTGAACTGCAGGTGATCCATTCTGCAATTCAGAACAGTTTTCCCTTTAAGTACTGCAAGATATCCTTCAGCATAATAAAGAATTGCTTCAGCTTTTCACGTGGAAATGGACAGGGTTGTGCTGGCTCTGTAACTGCCACCGGGGGGGCTGCGGTGTAGGTTGGTGCTGGCGCTGCAGGAATTGCTGGAGTAACTGGCTTCCTTCCTGACATTTTCCAGATCCAGTTGTAGTAGTACTGAGTGGAGCCGAAGACTGAAGGCCGTTTGGGTCTGGCACAGCCTATTCCCCAGCTGGTCACACCAATTTGCCAGAAGGCGCCAATGCGCTTGTCTTCGCAGACAAGAGGCCCCCCACTGTCACCCTGTAGCAGAGCAGAGAGGATTAAGGTGCTTTTGCGTGACCCTGAAAGCAGTTAGAGCTGGCTCCTTTACTCTCCCAGCCCCTGCCAGAACTGCATTCCTGGCAGAGCAAGGCTCTGCTCAAGTGGTGGGACCTGCAGAACCTTGACTCCCTTGGGAGCAGGATGGGGGCCCCCTGTAATGGGGGCTTTCTGTCTCCCCTGTGCTTGGATGTTTCAGGATTCTGGACCCTCACTGAGCAAGGACCCACGGATGGGAAAGAGGACAGAAGCTCCAGTGGTGGTGCAGAGCTGGGACTGAGAGAGCAACTGGCCAGGGAAAGCAGGTGCTAGGCTGTGCTTGGGTGGTGTGATGGGGCTGCCCACACTGCTGGGACTGGGGGACTATAGCATGCTCCTACCTGGCAGGTGCCAACACCGCCCTGCCCAGCACACACGTTGAAGTCGTTGATGTGCCCACTGAGCCACTCGCTACTGTTGCATAGCTGGTTACTGATGTAATGAACCTTGGCCTGCTGCAGGATATCTCTACCTGATGCTGTGAGCAGAGAAAGGAATGAGTTCCCAGCAGCTCCTTGCCCATTCTCCTGGCCTGTGTGTTGAAATCGTTCCCTACGGCTTGGTTCTGCCTCTGGAGAGCTGTTGGAGTGCTGTGTCACTGCTGTCTGGCATTGGGCAGCAGGTCAGGCCCATCTCTCCAGAGGCATATGTCCCACAGCCCAACTCTCATTTTGGCCTCTGCTGTCAGGAAGACCCAGCCATCCCTCCCTGCTGTGCCAGCCATGCCCTCAGTGCACAGGTCCTTTATGGGAACTCACATTTTACAATTCTGTCACCCCAGCCAGCAATGTAGCAGTTGTTCATGTTTGACAATTTCACCGAAGGTGCAGGTAGGCAGGCGGTCTGAATATTGGACCTGCACCGGACTGGCATGTCCAATTCCACCAAGGCCATGTCATGGAACTCAAGACGAGGAACATAGTCTTCGTGCATGATCAGTCGCTTAATCCGGCGCACTTCCACATTAGGGCCTGTTTCGGCCAATGAGGTGGCCCCAAGCACGATGGCCCACTCGCTGAGGTCGCTGGAAGGCAGATGGAGAGAGGGGTGAGGGGATGTAGAATCATGTGCTGTGACAGCCCAGCACTTCCCTGCCTTCTGCTTCCTGAGGCAGAGAGGAAAGACAGAACTACAGACAGTGAAAGTAGACTCAAGATATGTTAAGCTGGAGGCTGCTAGGAAGCAGTGGCATGAGCCCAGTCTTCTGCCTGAGCAGTCTCTCAGCTGGGCCCTGCAATGGCCTGGTGCTAGGCACACTGCAAGGAAATGGGATGGGAATAGCATGCACTGGTGGTGTGGGGATATCCCTCTACCCTGGTCCTCCTTACTTGGTACGGTTGATAAAGCAGTGGGCAGCTGTGAGGAGCCACTGTGAGCTGATGAGAGTCCCTCCACAGACATGGATAGACACAGGTGGGTTCCAGTAGCAACGGACACTGGCAATTCCTGCCCAGGCCCCAGTCCCTGGCAGGACATCTGAGCCACCCACAACGCGTGTGGAGCCGAGGGTACTACCCATGGGCCGGAGACCACAGGTGTCTCTGTAAGCAGAAAGTCATTACCGTCCTGTGAGAAGGCTTGCACAAGGTTTGGTTGCAAAGCCAGCAGGGCCAGAGGTGGGTGGGCCTGGGCATATGTCGGCCCGTTTCTGCTTGAGCCCTGTAGACAAGCGGCGCCAGCAGCCTGGGCGCTGGTGATAAACTGAGGCTTCTGCCCAGGGTTTTGGAAACTGGTATGGCCACTGGTGGCAAGCAGGCATCCTGAGGGAGCCCTCTCAGCCTTTGCCTGGGTCTCCTCAGGTCAAGCCTGAGGCTACTTACCCACAGGCGCCATGTGCAGGCCCACACAGAGCCAGTAGGATGAGGACGCACAGCAGAATCATTGTGGTCAGAGACACAAGTCAGCTGCAAGGAGAGAGGTCTTGTCACCTCCAGTGCTGCTGCCAACGCAGTGCCCACAGAATTGGCACAGCCGCAGTGCCCTTGGCCCCGGAGCTGATGTCACAGAGGGACTGGTTCCATGTTCTGGGCATGGTGCTGGCCTCTGGAGGTGGTGGGGGGAAGGGCAACGTAGAGCCATAGAACAAAAAAAAGGTCTGGATTGGAAAGTACCTTAAGGATCCACTAGTTTCAAACCCCAGCCATGCACATGGATGCCTTCCACTACACCAGGCTGCACAGAGTCCTATCCAAGCTGGCCCCAAATGGTAACAGGAATGGGGCATCCATAGCTTCTTTGGGCAGGCAACCTGTGCCAGCACTGTGACAATGATACAAGATTTTACTTGTCATCCAAAAATCCTGCAGAATTTGCAGCAACAACAATTAAAAGCAACACACATTTGGATTTTTAAAAACAATTTGTGAAATTGTTTTCATTTGCTTTACTTGAGACAGAAAAATCAACTAAACAAATGCAACTTGAGGCCTCAAGGAAAAGAAAGTCTCAATGCCTAAACTCTTTTGGTATTGTTTAGAAAGTAACTGTGAAGAATTCTAATTAAAAGTCATTTTCCTTCAAGAAGCCAGAGCACCTTTACAGTTGAGCCTGTTCATTTAGTTGTTTCCATTGGACTGCTGAACAGCTTACCTCTATTTCAAGAGGTACAGCAGAGGCTGTGCATTTGATTGCTATTTCAGTTACTGCCAACAAATTCCTCTCTTTGATTACCAAACTCCAATTTTCTTAGCTTTCTTTGATGAAGTTCAGAGAGGACCAAAAAGATGGAAGGTTCCTGCCCAGATAGCCAGAGTCCAGTTTCAAGTTCCCTGGTGTGCTGCACAGCACACACACAGAAGGATCAGATGTCAGAAGCCTAAGACACTGCATTTCCAGCTGCTGTCTCCAAGACTTGAAAACCCCTAGGATCTGCATTCCCTTATTACACTGCACCCTTGCCCTCCTTTTTGAGTGGGCAGTTCCAGCCCTTTGGAGGGACCCTTTCCCTTTGGGCATGACTTGCCTGCCCACAGCTGCGTTTTGCAAATCCCAGCTCAGGGAGGCCTTGGATCACACAGGAGAATGAGTGGGACTGCACACATGGCTATCTGTGAAAATAGGCCACTTTATTTCTACAGCAACTAAGTCACCATTGGCCCATTACACACATGTGGAGGAGGAGTGTGGGCAGGACACAGTGGGCCTTTGCCACTGAGGCAACCTTTGGATCAGCAGGCCTCAGAAGGAAAGGATTGTGGTCCACTGCAGTCTGAATTGCAAGCCATCAATCCCTCCCTAGCATGCCTTAGGCTCCAGGCTGCCCACCTTCTAGCTGCAGTTTGACTTAAGCCCGAGATGAGGCTGGGCTTTTGTGTCTTTGAACTCAGTAAATCTGACAAAGCCCTTCCCCTGCCTTGGTTACAGGGAAAAAGGGAAACAAAAATATTTATTTTGGTTTGTTGCTGCATTTATTTGGCTTTTAAGGCAGAAATGCTATTCATGCCATGCCAACAATGGTATTTTGGGCAAAGTGGGCATGAGTTTGATACCTTTGGCTTTTGCAAAGGAAAAGGAGAAAAACAGGGGGAAAAAATGAAAGAGAAAAGAGAGAAAAAAGAGGAAAAAAAAAGATACAGAGAAAAAAGGAGAAAAAAGGAGGAAAATAGGATAAAGGTTTTCACTGGAAAATGTGTTTGAACCAAGGGAAGCCTGAACATCATGTGGTACATTTCACAAATTTCACCCTTACAGGTTCTTGAGGACCTTTGTTGTTCATGGCCACATCCCATGGCCAAGTGTGATCTAAGGAGGTCTGCAGCTGTCATCTTTGCACATTGAAAGTTGCTGTGGTCAAAACTGCAGGGTTTTGGTTTTGCTTTGATATTTCCCCCAGTTTAGAAATTCCCCCTCCTCCCCTGCTCCCCTGTTTTTTTTTCCCCCTTAGGAACAGGGCAGGAAATTTAGTTTTGGTCTAAAACTCTCAGGCTCTCCCTCTGTAATAAATACTTTCAGGTTACTACTGCATTCAACATAGGCGATAGTACAGGGTGTTTTATATGGGTATGGGAAAAACTACAAGCCTGTGTTTTTAGAACTGCGCATGGAGAAGCCATACCGAGGTGTGGATTGCACGTTATGGTCATGGATTGCATGGAGGCAGGAGTGGATGATGCCTGGGAGGACATAAGAGAGCTGTACAGCCCCAGCTTGTACCTTCCCCCTGCTATACAGATGAAGAGGCAGCAACTAACTGGGGAATGATGAGCAATGCTGTCAGCACTCAGTATGAGAAGTCAGAAAGGGGTGTCTGCTAAGGGCCATCAGTAGAAGGGCCATCAGGGTTGTGGGTTTGTCCATTGCACAAAGTCCCTACACCTGCTGCACAGTGTTACAGCATATGCAGCAAAATACGCTGTGATGCTACATTAATAAACAGTTATTTCCACAGTCTTTAAAAAATATTAGAGCTTTTAAACCAAGGGAGAAAGCCTTCCCAGAAGCTCTAGTGTGAGCCTTCACCACAGGGCTGGACAGCTCATAGGTGGATTTCTCACAGAGGCTGCTCCTAACTTGGAGAGGTCAGAAGAATGATGTGATGGGGTGCAGACATTGTTCTGTGATTTTTTTTTTAATTCTTGAGCTGATCATCATGGGGCTGATTTAGTCTTGCCACTTTGTGCCATGCAAAGATTTTTAAAAAAAACCTGAGTTTTTTATTTAATGAGTCATGAACAAATTGGAGTTGTTCAGCCAAAGCTGAAATTTGAGAAGAGGTTTAATTTCAGGAACACTTGCTGCCTGCGCTTGTTGCAAAGCTGGAGCAAACTGGACTTCAAAGAAAGAACAGGACTGCACCATTAAGGGATACAATGAATATGAAATCAAGAGAAGTTGCCTTGGAAGGATGCACTGATTTAACTGCGGTTTCTGCATCAGCTGGCTCCCCAGTATCGAGAGCAGATGCCACTTTTTTGCAGACCTCTGAATCCTGTGCAAGGATGTGCAGATACCACTGATCAGACACAACCACTGGCATCATGAATCCCACAGCTGAAAGCATCAGAAAGAGGAGGCATTTGCTCCAACAGAGCAGGCCTACTGCAACAATCCACATCACTCACTAATCTCGTGGGAGCTATGTGGGCACTATGTGAGCCTTCTGCAGGCAGGTCCATGTGGCTAGTTGTTCTTGTGAGGGACCTTTTCCCAGACTTTTTTTTTTACACTTAGGGTAGTTTAAGCACGTATTTTAGCTAAACACAGCTTCCTTAGAGGGATCCTGCCTTTAAAAATGGAAGTGTGGGGAAGAAAGCAATCTATCCTTATGCAGAGATGAAACAGATGTTTCTCCTCCATGGCTCTGGCCAAACCTGCACAGACCTAGGGGTAAGGACCTAGCACAGTAATAATGGCTGAACTGGTGCACATCTGATGCCCACTGTGAATGTGAGCACAATAGCCACAGTAACAGGATGGAGCTTTGTCTTCTGTCCCCAGGCACCCCATTCCAGTGGGTACAGTTCATCCTCAGGACCAAGTAGGATGAGCAGCACATCCCTCATGACTTGTTCTCTGAGCTGGATGAAAGCTGTATGAGAGAGGCTGAAGATGCTGAGTGGAAAGAAATGGCAAGGTAAATCCCTGCTGCTGGCTGTGATGGGAGAGAAGTGCCCACAATGGCAGTATCCTTGGGCTCTGCCTTCTGCTCTCTGGAACACTTTCTGCAGCTGCAGTTGCTTGCTGATCTAAGCAGCCTTCTGCTCTTGCCACCACTGAAATTTAGCAATGGAGTTGGAGATCTGGAGTTGAAGAGGAAATAAAAGACTATCAAGTGCAGGATCAAGCCCTGTGAGGCCTCTCTGTCCTTGCTCAGCCTCTGAGTTGAGGAGCTGCACCACCAATGAAAGGGTGCTGCTGTGTCAATAATATCAAAGGCACTGAAGGTAACGTCAAGCCACATTCCTCTGGGAGTGGCCAAGCTTGGTTTGTCACACAGCCCTTCTCTCCCAAATCAACCCTGCCCCAATGCCACAACCTTTTTTGGAAGTCCTGCTGGATCTTCAAATTCTGTAGTTATCCCTCTAGCATGGCTACAGCTGGCTCATTAAGTAAATTCCTAAGGCATCTAAGGAAATATTTGCTTACTACACTTCAGCCTATTAGTCTGCATTTTGTACAGCCCCTAATAGGTGGTGTCCTACATGTGCTAATCTCACTTACTAAGTACTACTTATCTGTACTGAGAATTCCACAATCCTGCATTACCTGGGTTACCTTGAACAGTTCAAGTTTTTGAACCTATGGCTAAGCTTCATTAGCCTTACTCACACTACCTCTAACCAGAATCCAGGTAATGGGACATCCAACTCTCTCTGGCTCTCAGGGTGGAGTGGCAGTCCTCACCTTCCCTTGGAGGCTTTTTCCCAGTCCTCCTAACACTGGGTTTCTGCTCTCTGACCTGCACTGACATCTCACCCTTTTCCTGACCCTCACCCTGCCCTAAGCCATATCCAACAGGAACTTTGCCAGCAAAGGCAGTCTGCCTTGCACCAGCCCTTTGATATTTCAGTCTTCATCAATTCCCAATGCACTCAAAAAAGGAGAATTTTATTTAAGCATTTCTCATGGAAGGAGGAACTGACTCCAATACAACTTATTAATAGGGCTGGAGACTCCCTAACAGAAAAACAATTTTAAAACCTCTACAACTGACATAGCAAAAGTATGCATATGCTACAAATGGTAAAATGAAAAAACCTCCCCAACTTTCCAGGTTTTATTTGTACACTTTCTTGTCTGAAACTCAGCTCCATGTTACTGCTTCATAGTTGTCACTAAAGCATATTAATAGAATAGTGACAATTTTTAGGATTCCAGCGCAGAAATCAGGAGGAAGATGGGATCCTCTTCCACAGTTTTGATTTTAAATTTTTAAAGACTCAATACTGTGGCCAGGAATGAAATAAAACACATGTGAAGGGGCAGAAGAGATAGAAAAGTGGAAGTTTACAACTGACGTCTAATTTAATTTAAGAAGTGACTAGGAAGAAAAAGATGGCATATATATGTACACATACATACAAACACACACATAATATACACAAATATTCAAAGATGGAAATAGTATTTCTGTAGAATTTGAAAGATTTAAAATACAGAAGGAATCAAAGTATTAACGCACGGAGTATAAAAATTCCAAGAATATACTTGATTGCAATTCTCATTCCATAATTTAACAGTTAAAAATAGGCTAGCATGAAACCACAAAAGATACAATGGTAGTGAAATGAAAAGATAAAAAGTATGTTTATTCTTGCATGTATTGAGTATATATATACACTGTAACTCC